CAGGCTGCTCTCGAACTCCTGACCTCAGGTGATCCACTGCCTGGGCCTCCTGAAGTGCTGGGATTACAGGTGTGAGCCACTGAGCCTGGCCCCACAAAGATGACTCCTATGCTTATGTGGTAGAAGTGATTTAGAAGATTTCAAAGATGGAATGATACTTTTATACTAAAAAATTTATAACCATCTCTCTATATAAAATGCCAGCATATTCAAAGCATTATACAGTAGGAAAAAATGGCATGTTCTATGTAATGTTTGGGGCATACTATCATTTACCTGAAAGTCAAACTTAATTCAAACGTTACCAAGTGTTCTGTATTTTTATATGCCACACCCAGCAACCTTTAGCTACAGATTGCCCTCTTTGAGTTTCATGACACGGCCATTTAGGAATCAAATTGAATAGTAACCGAGTGTCGGCCTAAACATGGTGACTTGTCCCCTAATGGTAAATCCAATCAATGTCTGTGCCTTCAATGTCCCCGCCTCAATCTGTTAAACGCTTAGGTAACCAAGTGTCGGACACAAAGTTAAAAAATAGTCCTTGCTCTCATGGAGCTTGCCATATTCTAGGAGACATGTAGGCAGATGTATAAAATCTGTTTCCTGGGGAGCAGGCACAGGCACAGATGGGGCACGATGACGCCTGCACGTTGCAGTGGAGATCTTTCAGGAAGATTTCAGAGTGGATGACGTACTTTTATACTACAGCATTTAGAATAATCTCTTTCTCTAAGTACAATTCCAGAATATTAAAAGTATTACAAAATTTGGGAATAGACAACAACGTACACAAAAAGCCTAGTATCTATTTAAGGACTAAGTGTAGGGAAAAGGACCCTTTTACTGGAAAGACAGGAAAATAGCTTCTTCCTCTATGATGGATCCAGAAAATCTGGGAGGGAGACCCAAGCGTGGTGAGTCAGTGTGAGAAGTAATGTTTAATCTAGCTACTGAGTGGTATGATTTTTCAATTTCCTCCCTCATCCCTTTTTTTTTTTTTTAAAAAAAAAGAAAAGAATATCTGCTCTGACAACATTTCCTCTTTTTTTTCTTTTGGGATGGAATCTCACTCTGTCACCCAGGCTGGAGTGCAGTCTGTGATCTCGGCTCACTGCAACCTCCATGTCCTGGGTTAAAGCGATTCTCCTGCCTTAGCCTTCTGAGTAGCTGGGATTACAGGCGCGCACTACCACACCCAGCTAATTTTACGTATTTTTAGCAAAGACGGGGTTTCACCATGCTGGCCAGCTGGAACTGCCAACATTTTCTTCATCCTCATCACTAATCACTTCTTCACCCACAAATGTCCTCTGCTAGAATGTGAGTTCCAAGTAGAGACAGATCAAAGAAAGGGAAGGAAACTCAGACCTTTGTTATGACACACTACTGAATTCTCCTCTTGCCTTTGTTCCCCTCAGGTGAAGAAAAGGATTGCTATTTTTCCACCATTAACACACCACAAATGTCCACATGTATTTCTGTTGCTCTCAAGAGTTGTTGTCATCATCTTAGTCAAGAAAAAAGGTAGTGAGAAAAAAACTGGAAGTTACTGGTATTTTGTCATTACTAAGTGACAGGGCATTAGGGATGATTTAATATTTGTATCCTTGTCCACTGTAAAAAAGGGAAGCTTAAAAACACAAATGTGGAAGGTTCCCAGCCTGAATACAAACGGTATTCAATTTCCAAGTCAAATGTGTCCAGACAGCAGGAGACATCTACTGATCCGTGAGACGGAGGAGCCTCCTTGGAACGAACGAATTCTGGCAGAAGGAGTACTTGTGAAGGGAAAACAGTTTAGTTCAAAAAGCAAGGCTTTGCAACACCACAGTGAATTTTCATTTAATGAAGGCTGTGCTCCAGCCATGTCTTGAGAGTGGGAAGAAAAGGCAGCAAACGAGCTCTGCCTCCACCGGCTCTGGGGACAGTGACGGTTCAGTGACTCCTTCAGGATGCTCAACCCCGGGCCCAGGAACACAGCACAGGCCTCAGCCCTTCCACAATGAATACTTCTTAAAGGCATCAGCTGCAGCACCTTTGTTGCATAAAAATTCACTAAGTTCGAAAAAACCTCCCGACTTTTGGGCCCATTATTTATTATATAAAATGGTTTCCAGCAGTAGGGTTTAAGACAAAACACAAGTGAAATAAAATGTACAGGGCTGTTGCATAGAAACACTGAAAACACAGCTATGCCTTTTCACAATTCAGTAACACATACAAACACCGCCACAAACACCCTCCGATTCACAGTTTAGATTTCACTCATTCAATAACTGTTTTCTGAGTACCTTCATTACTGGGGATGCAGCAATGAACAACAAAGTCCCTGCTCTCATGGAGCCTCTGTTCTACGAGCGGGCAGGGAGACAGACATCAAACAAAACAAATACAGAACATGTCAGGTAGTCACTGGGTTCCTGCATGGGGGAAGGAAAGCTGCACACCCCAGCCCCTTAAGAGCAATTTCAGGCTGCTGTAAATGTCACAGCCTTTTGGGGGAAGACCCAAACTCTAAATTTTATATATAATAAAACTGGGGTCTGGCCATGTTGCCCAGGTTGATTGGTCTTGAACTCCTGGCTTGAAGTGATCTTCCTGTCTTGGCCTCCCAACGTACTGAGATGACAGGCATGAGCCACAGTGCCCAGCCCTAACTTATATTTTTAAAACTAACTTTTTTGTAAGTGGCAAATTTCTGGTCAGACTCTTAAAGTTCCTAATTCTGGGGAGCATATCTAATTTTTAGTTACAAGCTATACTAATAAGTACTTGAAGTTCATACTAAGAGTAAGACCCACATCGTGTGGGTACATGTGCAGGTACATAAATGAATACGTTTACAGGCCCATGTCGGAAGTTACACATGTACATCACGTTAATCTGTATTACATATTAATATAAAACTATTTCTGGCTCTAATGATACAAGTCTTTCATATAAATTCGTAGATTATATTTGGTCTAAGAATTAACTATCAATATGCTAGTTCTGAGGCAGTTTATTGGTACCCCCAAGTGCACGGTATTTCTAAGTAAACATTTGTTCAGAAAAAATACTTGTCACTTAAGCATATGCTGATTAAGCAACATGTAGAACATAAAATTAAGAGTAGAGTGGAACTGCCTTTTTTTTTTTCTGAGACTGAGTCTTGCTCTGTCATCCAGGCTGGAGTGCAGTGGCACGATCTTGGCTCACTGCAACCCCTGCCTCCCGGGTTCAAGCGATTCTCCTGCCTTGGCCTCCTGAGTAGCTGGGATTACAGGCACACGCCACTGTGCCCGGCTAATTTTTGTATTTTTAGTAGAGACAGGGTTTCACCATGTTGGTCAGGCTGCTCTAGAACTCCTAACCTCATGCCTCCCAAAGTGCTGGGATTACAGGTGTGAGCCACTGCTCCCGGCCGGAACTGCCTTTTCAAGTCTGGTGCTCAGTGCTCGTTCACTGAAAACCAGATAGTCTCAAAACCTGAACCCTTGTGCTCCTAATTCCTAGAGACCTAACAATTTCACTGGTGTCTTTTAATGTTAATTTCCGTATTTTCCCTTCTCTACATCCTGCAAAGGCATTGCTCCTTTTTAGGCTAACCAGTCTGAAGCGTGTTTTCCCACTGGAGAACACAGGGCTGGAAGTTCTGGACAGGATCCTTGAATTGGGTAGTCTGAGAAGCAATGGTGGCAGGGAGTCGTGACATGTTCCCAATTGCCTCTTCAAAGGGGCAAACTTCCAAAGTGACAGCGCTTTTACAAAGGTCAGGCCGACACAGCAGATGTACTTCAAACCAAACGCCTCTGGTCAGGAAGATGAAAAGGTGTCACCATGGGGTTCTCCAGCAGAGAGCTGTATCTCAGAGATTCCTGGGTCTCCTCAATGGCCCACTATGCTCTGCTTGAACCACTCCAGAAGCCAGGCGGCAGATCCGGGAACACGCATGCTGTGGCCTGCAGACTGGTGTATGTGCCCCGGATGAGCTGAGCTCACAGCTCCCCCCTAAGGCAGCTGCCTTCAACCTTTTCTTCCACCAGGACAATCTGCTATCTGAGCAGAAATGACTACTGAAATCAGACTGGCCTTAGCAATGGCTGCTCCCCAGCACGCTCTTAACTCTGTCTCCTGTCTCTTTCACCTGGTCCCTGCCAGACGGTGCTATGAGAACTCTGCTCTAGAGGCCACCAGAATTCCCAGACTTCCTGCCTATTAAGGATATCCATGGGTAATTCCAAGTAGCAAGTAATTTAAAAATAAATTTTAAGTGCCTTTGGAAAGCATTATGTAATTTCTTAAATTAGGTTTTTCTTCCTAGTTACCTTTTTTCCCTCAGTTCAATGATTTGTATTTTAAAGCCAAGCAGGCTGAGTAGAAGGGGTATCTGAATACTGCTAGGCAATGCAGAGAAGCCAGCGTGGTATTGAAAGTGACACAGATGAGCCATAACAAGAGTGTGTGAATCACTGAGAGCTGAAGAGGTGCACAGGCTCCCATGGAACGCATTCTTCCTCTTGCACCAGAGCCAGCAACCTCTTTCCTGCGGAAGTCTTCTTCTTCTGTGTCAGTCTCCCAGCACTGCCACTTTCTGGTCCCAAGGCTTCTTGCATACACTGTCTCCTGGCATGGCATGTATATTAAAACTTGTACACACTCTCAGACCTTAAATATAACCATCATTTCTCTAATTAGTTACCTATTTTCTATGACTTCAGTGACTGCAAATTCCAGCCAGAAGCTATTGTTCTGGTAAGTTTTGAATCGGAAGTGTTAATGAATAGTAAAAGATTGCCTGGCTTTAATCCTAAACCATGTAAGGGTAGATACTGTGATGTGGAAACCAACGTTCTCGGGATAAACAAACAGAAGTCTCTGAACATGTTTAGAGAGCATCTTTCTGGCACCTGCAGCTGCTTTCTAGGGTAAGCTACTTTCCAGAAAACCAAGTGATAATGTGTTCAGACTTTCCTAGATAAACTTCCTAAGGGCCTACCTCAGTGTTAAAAGAAAAGACCAGATGTCTGAAATCTCTCCTGAGGAAGAATGAAATAGAATGCTAGGAATGCCAGCAGACAGGTGGGACACATGCAGTGGGCAGCAGCACCGGTGACAGGAACACAGCGGCCATCCTTAGCCACAGTGCATGGCTAGCTCAGTGGTACTTGGGCTGGCAGGAGGGAGACGGGTGGCCATCATTTTGATGTGACTCATCTCATCCAATGCAAGTCCAGTGACAGGCTTTTTCAAGATTTTACACATGGAAAAGAATGTAGGAAATGTTTGTCTCAACTCTTGCAATTTCTCTTTTTCTTCCTTTTTTTTTTTGAGAGGGAGTCTCACTCTGTCACCCAGGCTGGAGTGCAGTGGCATAATCTTGGCTCACTGCAACCTCCACCTCCCAGTTTCAAGCAATTCTCCTGTCACAGCCTCCCCGGTAGCTGGGATTACAGGCATGCACCACCACACCCGGCTAATTTTTGTGTTTTTAGTAGAGACGGGGTTTCACCATGTTGGCCAGGCTGTTCTTGAACTCCTGACCTCAGGTGATCTGCCCACCTTGGCCTCCCAAAGTGCTGGGATTACAGGCGTGAGCCACTGCGCCTGGCGTAGTTTCATTTTTAAATAGTTAAGTGCTTACCTGTATGTTTAGGATCTATAACTGAAGATGTTTTTTCTTCCCCCAAACAAGCAAATGTCCTCTTTGCAGTGACTGAGAGGAAGGCAAGGAGCTCAGGCTCCCAGTGTGACTCTTGCAGAAAAACCTTATGCTTTACAGAGTTCATTTCCGGTCATACAAAGTCCTGCTGTAGTTCTTCACTTGTTTTACTTTCACTTTCATCTTCATTAGAATAATTTCCTGAATCCTGGCAGTTTTGGGAACTGTATTTTTTATGATCTTCATCAGTTTGATTAGTTTCTTCTACTGTAGCAATTGTGCTTATATTTTCAATTATAAAACATTTTTCAATTTGTTCTTCAGAAGTTGAAAGCAGAAGATTCTTTAATGGCTGTTCAGAGAAGTACTAATTTAAAAAGAGGGAAAGAATAGAAATCAATTATTTAGAATAATAATTCCTTTTCCAGTTATAATAGCTTTAGTTTCTTATGTCCATTACTGAGAAAACCATCTTCTGGCATTAAAAATTAAAAAGTCACCTAAGAACATACTAATTGCCTTATAATATTTAAAATCAACATTGGTGAGGTCACTCATATCTTAGCACCTTTTGTGGTGAGTCTTTGAAGAGCGCCTGAGTAGAGGGTACACTGTACCATCAGGAGTAGGTGGGGGATGAACTCGGGAAAGGACAGGCGTGGGAGGGCACTGAGATCATGACATTTTTTTTTGACATAATAACAATTTTTGTATCCAATCCATAGATACCCAGAAGAAGCACAAGTGAGAAATTATTAGCTACTGTAACTAAGTCTGTTTTAAATAATAGCTATGAATATTAGTACATAGCAATGACATTTAAAAACTAGAGGTAAAATCGTTACTATTTACTGAGCAGTTTCAGAGTGGTGAGATTCTCTGGTTTATCTCCTTTGCTCCTCACACCTCTACAGGGTGGTTTACAGCCAAGGGTGCTTGCTTACTTCCCTTTAAATGATTTTCTCAAGTTCACAAAACCCACCCTAGATGAACACATCCCAGGAACAGATTCTATGCTTAGGCGTTCACCATATAGTGTTTTCATTTAATATGCTAACTTCATAGAAGTGCCAAACAAAAAGCTGTTCTGTGTCATGAAAAACAATTCTCATGTTTTCAGTTATTTCGTTTTATGTGATTTCATCCATAGAGTATACTTTCTACACTGATTGAATATTTCAGGCTTCTGGATATATACAGATGCTCCTAACTTACGATGGGATTATGTCCTGACAAACACATCACAAATCGAAACAGTGTAACTCGGGGACTGTCTGTGCTGTGAAGAATCATATCACAGACTTTATTTCCTCATTTAGAGACAGAGTCTCACTCTGTCACCCAGGCTGGAGTGCAATGGTGTGATCTCAGCTAACTGCAACCTCCACCTCCCAGGTTCAAGTCATCCTCCTTCCTCAGCCTCTTGAGTAACTGGGATTACAGGTGGGTGCCACCACGCCCAACTAATTTTTATATTTTTAGTAGAGAAGGAGTTTCACCACGTAGGCCAGGCTGGTCTCGAACTCCTGACCTCAAGTGATCCACAAAATGGATCCTCCAGTGATCCTCACCTCAAGTGAGCCAGCCTCCCAAAGTGCTGGGATTACAGGTGTGAGCCACTGTGCCCAGCCAAGAATCACAGACTTTAAATGGTTAAACAAATGCCACAGTGAATCTAGGAATTGCCAGAGTTGCCAGAAAAATAGGGAATTAAGGACAATCATTTCTATCCCATGCTATATTATTATATTAAATTACTATTTCTAAAGTTAATTGACTAAAATTTTGAAGAAAATACCCAAATCAGTTTCTATTATTTTCTGGATATATCCTGTTGAAATCAAACACATTTCCTGTTCATTTCCTAGCTGTTGACAAAAAAATACAAAAAGCACATACCTCATCTATATTGGAAGAAGGTTTAAGTGATGGAAAGAACACATAATTGATGCATCTCAGGAGAACTTTCACAACATAAATGACAGCTAGGATAGTAATTGATATAGTACCAATTCCAGCTATAAGCCAAATGTTAGATGCATTTCCTAAAAATACATACATGATGTTTAGCATGAATGTTTTGACATATAAATGTAATAGTGCTGATAGCTTATGTGAAAGACTAGCCATATGAAAGGAAATACAAAATCTATTAAATAATACTTTTTTTTTTTAGATGGAGTTTCACTCTTATTATCCAGGCTGGAGTGCAATGGTGCAATCTCAGCTCACCACAACCTCCACCTCCCAGGTTCAAGTGATTCTCCTGCCTCAGCCTCCAGAGTAGCTGGGATTACAGGTATGTGCCACCATGCCCAGTTAATTTTGTATTTTTAGTAGAGATGGGGTTTCTCTCTATGTTGGTCAGGCTGGTCTAAAACTCCCGACCTCAGGTGATCTACCTGCCTTGGCCTCCCTAAGTGCTGGGATTACAGGCGTTGAGCCACTGTGCCTGGCCTACATAATACCCTTAAAAATACTTCTGGTAGCACTGAGTCCACAGCAACTATAGACGATGATGTTTACATTTAAAGATTGGTGTGGAACTGAAGTAAGAGAACCTCAGGGAGGAAGACAATATTGACATACAAGCCAAACATGCAAGCGTCCTTCAGCACTTTTAAGTCATACAGCTAGCAAAATTTAATAGATATTCTGTGACTAAGCCTCTACCAGTCAACACCAGAAACTGTAAAATAGAAAATGAGACTAAACCAGTTCCCACATAAAAAAAATTCACAATTGAACTAAGTGATTTCCACATGATAAATATGTTAAGGATTATATTTAAAAAATTTAAAACTAATAGTCTGATTAAATGTTAAAGAGCAACAAATTAATTAATTATATTGATACTAGATGAAATATAAAGCATTCAAAAACGCTGAATTGAGAATTAAGCATTACAAGTATTTTCTAAAAAGTCTACTTTTGATTCATACAGTTCATGAAGAAAACATTCTATATATTTTTTGCAGTAAAGAGAAAATGTTTTACAATAGTATTGAATTACTTTTATTATGTCTAGTTACATTTTTTAAAAAGACAATAAAAGATTCTGACCTGGCTTTGTTTTCACAAACACAACATCGCCAAAAGCACTGCTTTTATTCCACTTTTCATCCATGGTGTGTGCTCTGGCTTTGACACAATATACAGTCAGTGGTTTCAAATTAGGAACAATAAAATCAGTTTTTTCCTTGAAAATTTTTCTCTAGAAAACATAATTAAATCATTGAAAAAATTTAGTCACCTCATGAAATCAGAAAATATGTAGTTTCTCAATTCTTTTATGTTGAATCTAAGATTGGCCTCTCCTACGTAGTTGGAATGTGTTGTTGTTTTTTTTGAGACAGTCTCACTCTGTCACCCAGGCTAGAGTGCAGTAGTGCAATCTGGGCTCACTGCAACCTCCTCCTAGGTTCAAGCGATTCTCCTGCCTCAGCCTCTTGAGCAGCTGGGATTACAGATGCAGATGCCACCACACCCAGCTAATTTTTTTTTTTTTTTGGTAGGGATGGGGTTTCACCATGTTGGCCAGGCTGGTCTTGAACTCCTGGCCTCAAGTGATCCATCCACCTCAGCCTCCCAAAGTGCTAGGATTACGGGGTATATGTTTAAGAAATATAAATTTGTTGGCAGAGCATGGTGGCTCAGGCCTATAATCCCAGCAGCACTTTGGGAGGCCGAGGTGAGCATATCATGAGGTCAGGAGTTTGAGACCAGCCTGACCAACATGGTGAAACCCCATCTCTATTAAAAACACAAAAATTAGCCGAGTGTGGTGGTGCGTGCCTGTAATCCCAGCTACTCGGGAGGCTGAAGCAGGAGAATGCCTTGAACCCAGGAGGCAGAGGTTGCACTGAGCCGAGATTACACCCCTGCACTTCAGCCTGGGTAACAGAGAGGGACTCCATTAAAGAAAAAAAAAAAATGTAAATTTGTTTCAGACAACCCATTATAACCAAATCAGAAAGTTAAAAATGCTGCTGCCAAAAAAGCATATGATATATTCCTAACAGAACTCTAGTTTATTTATAAGTACATGCTAGATCTGGTGTAATTGCCACTGTATTACCTCTGAGTAGTGACAGAATGGTTAAGAATAGGGGTTTTGGCCTCAAACTTCCTTATTAAGAGGTATTGCTTACAGCTGTGTGGTCTTGCCTGCGTGGACTTGCCTGGGATTCACACCTGTAATCCCAGCACTTTGAGAGGTCAAGCAGGAGGATCATTGGAACCCAGGAGTTCAAGACCAGCCTGGGCAACATAGCAAGACTCTGTCTCTACAAGAAATTTCAAAAAAAATTAGCCAGGTATGGTGGCATGAGCCTGTAGTCTCTGCTACTTAAGAGGCTGAGGGAGCCAAAACAAACAAACAAACAAACAAAAAACCTGGGCAACATGGTGGTAAAACTCCATCTCTACAAAAAAAATACAAAAAATTAGCTGGGCATGGTGGCATGTGCCTGTAGTCCCAGCTACTTGGGAAGCTGAGATGAGAGGATCACTTAAGACCAGGAAGTCAAGGCTGCAGTGAGCTGACATCACATCACTGCACTCCAGCCTGGGCAACAGAATGAGAACCTGCATATATATATAAATGTATAACAAAACCACTTCAACATTCAGTGGCTCACAGCATCATTACGTAGTTTTCTCATTCACAAGTCTACAGATTGGCTGGGGAGTTCCCATGGAGGCCGTGCATGGGGTTTAGGTCGGCTCCACCAGGCCAAACCCCGAAAGCACACTTAAGGCCTCTGCTCTCAGTGCATCTACTCGGGCTCCAGCAACCACAGTCCAGCGATGCATGGATGAAGGCAACATCACAAGTATTTGCCAAACAGCAATTTAACTGATTATATCATCTGGCAGTGTTGTTTTGAAGAATGATCGAGACAACTCACGTACAATACTTAGCATAGTACCTTACACATAAGTATTCACTAACTTTTGTTTTTGTTTTTGAGATGGAGTCTCACTTCCATTGCACAGGCTGGAGTGTGATCTCAGCTCACTGCAACCTCCACCTCCTGGGTTCAAGCGATTCTCCTTCCTCAGCTTCCCAAGTGGTTGGGATTACAGGCGTGTGCCACCATACCCAGCTAATTTTTGTATTTTTGGTAGAGATGGGGTTTCACCATGTTGGCCAGTCTGGTCTCGAACTCCTGATCTCAGGTGATTCACTCTCCTCTCCCTCCCAAAGTGCTGGGATTACAGGCGTGTGCTGCCACGTCTGGCCTCAATACTGTAAGAGTTTCTATAATTATTGATGTATTATCCAGTATAGGACAAGACAGCAACTACAATTTATTGAATCTCTACTACTTGTCCAGCAATGTACTTGGTATTTTAATATTTGTTACTTCCTTTTAAACCTTATAAACATCCTTTTGAAAAATTTAGTTGCTATGATTACCACCACTTCAGAGAAGAGGAAGCAAAGTCTCCAAGAGGTAAAACACCTTGCATAAGGTCACACAATTTAGTAGTGTGAGATACAAACTTAGGCTTGTCTGATCTACAGGCATCTGAAAACTGACCGTAATTCTCAGTGGGCTACATTATGCTATGGTTACTGTGTTATTCAGTTAAAAAGGGAAGCAGCCCAATCAATGCAATTTGCTTAGATTTCAAATAGAAAATGAAGTCAAAGAATTTACCAGCCTGACTGCACAGGATTTTTAAAGGTCGATCCTTGACTATAATTCCACAAGGGAAAAGCCATCTGGGAAACAGGGATTAGCTGATGGTGTATCTTATCTTTGTCAGCGGTATCTGAATGTTAGGGTTTAGACCAGTGTTTGTCAACTCTCTTTTCATTACCTCCCCCACTCAACAACTTTCCAGCAATGTTTTTCTAATCCTTTCCCATCATAAAATTAAATACTAAGGAATAAGATTTTGTTGGGCAAAGCTAACTTTGGGAGAATGCTTTTCAATGCTTTTGGAGCAACACAAACAATTGTACTATCTAAGATTCTTTTGTCCCATAAGAACCAATTTTTGTCCCCTTGGAGGTGCCACCAGGGGACATTTGACAATATCTGGAAATGTTTTTGATTTCACAACTAGGAAGGAACACTACTGGCATCTTGTGGGTAGAAACCACAATGTTGCTAAGCATCTTGAACCACACGGGACAGCCCCCTCCCAAGGAATTATCCGGCCCAAAAGTCAACAGTGCTGAGAAACATGGGTTTAGATGAATACATGGGAATGATGTTAAAAATGCAAATTCCTGAGTTCCATCCCCAGAGAGTCTGACTTAGTAACAACAACAGGCTCAGGAATCTGTATTTTGAAAGCAAACTGGGGCCCAGATGCAGCTCACCCATAACTCTACCATGCAAAATATGAAAAATGCTCATGTTCTTCATACTGTAAATATCTTAATCACATTAAAAAAATTTTTTTTTTTATTTTGAGACAGGCTGTTAGTCACTCTGTCACCCAGGCCAGAGTGCAGTTGCATGATGATAGCTCATTGCAGCCTTCACCTCCCAGGCTCAAGCAATCCTCCCACCCCAGCCTCCCAAGTAGCTGGGAATACAGGTGCACGCCACCGCACCAGGCTAATTTTTAAAAATTTTTGTTGAGACAGGGTCTCTCTATGTTGCCCATGCTGGTCCCAAACCTCTTGGCTCAAGTGATTCTTTCATCTCGGCCTCCTGAAGTGCTGGGATTACAGGCCACTGCACCCAGCCCACATAAAGTAAAAAATTTCCTCCCAATTTTAAATTCAAGCTTTATTTACCTAAATCATAGTTATAACTCTAAGTTACAAAATAATACTATACAGTCTTTTTACCTCAGCATTTGAAGTGTTTTCCCAGAAAATAATTTCATAAGTGAGTGGATAATCCTGGTTCACAGGCTTGCTTCCCGACTGTTCTGGAGCACCAATATAGATATGTAATGAATCACTAGTGGATCTAACTTTAAGGACCGGAGGAAGTAGGAAAGCTAGAAAAAATTTATAAGGCCATAACGTTCCATTAGAAAAACAATTTTAAGAACTTGCACCAAATCAGAGAATTACAATCTCAAGTAAAACCTACTGCCTTACCTTGTATTTCAGTATCAAACTTTATCTCTTCAGACCAAAAAGATGTGTTATTTCCATCAGATGCTTGTACGCGGAGAAAGTAAATTCCTTTTGGGAAAATGTTTTGAGGAAAGACACACTGGGTAGTTTTGACATTTTCACAATTAGGCATTTGTTTCCATTTATACGAATGGTTCACAGGATTCCTTTTTAAAAAGGCGCTTTTAAGACAAAAATTTTTAAATTCAACCACACAGTAATTTAATAAATATTTATTAAGTATTTACAATCTGCCAGACACTATTTTAGGGGCTAAGGTTACAGAAATAAACAGTATCCACCCTCAGGAAATTCACAAACAGTGGAAGAGATAAGCATCTATCATAAAAGAAAACCGGAAGACTGCTCCAGACTGTGAGAAAGTGCTCTCTGCTGGAGGTGGTTCATAGCAACGTGGAAGAACATCTGTTAGAATTTCCAGGAAACACTGCAAGCTGGTTTGTGTGTGTTTCTTTTTTCTTTTGAGACGGAGTCTCACTCTGTCACCTAGGCTGGAGTGCAGTGGTGGGATCTCAGCTCAATGCAACCTCTGCCTCCTGGGTTCAAGCAATTTTCCTGCCTCTGTCCCCTTGAGTAGCTGGGATTACAGGCACACACCATCAAGCCCGGCTAATCTTTGTATTTTTAGTAGAGACAGGGTTTCACCACGTGGGCCAGGCTGGTCTCGAACTCCTGACCTCCGGTGATCTACCCACCTCAGCCTTCCAAAGTGCAAGCTGGTTTTTAAATGAAAACCATTATTAAAAATTTAAGTTATAAAAATTTGCAAATAAAAAATTGTTTTAAAGTCAGAGGTAATAAATAGTCAAAATTCCATCTTGTCCTAATTCTTTTACTTCATTTTATTGTCTATGCTCTTGGGGCTATCTTTCTCTATTGTAGCAGGATGATAATGGGGTGCTACAGTGCCTATCTTCCAACTCCATGTTCAGGGACATCAGTCTGGTAGCTAGAAAGCAGCCATGGTGGAAATATTAATATCATAAAAATAAGCAAACACTACAAAATAGGAGTTTTTCTTTTTGGAAAGCCAGCTGCTAAACATGCACCAGCATACCAATTGAAAAGTCTACAACAGAGACACACCACAGTGTTATGAGAGCAAGTATACAAGCATGAGACTGAAGAGGTTAAGCAACTTGCTCGGAAAGCAACAGCTAAAAGCATCTCAGCCCCAGCCCAGAACTCTAACAGCCTCCTAACTGGTTTCCTTGTCTCTCCCTAGTGTCTCCTTAGTCCACTGCCCCACGTACCATGTTGCCATGTGTGCCTTCCTCAAATCCAGAGCTCAGGGTAACTGTCACCCCAACATAAAATCCCAAAAGCCTATAGGACAGACTGAGGCTGACCCTAATCTTGTCCCATTCTACTTATTCAGCTTTCTTCCTATTCCAATCTGGTGTCCGAATGTTCTGCTACTCTGCTCCAGGCTGGAGTGCAGTGGTGTGATGTCGGATCACTGCACTCCCCCCACAGAAAGACATCCTCCCCACTGGAGAAGGCAAAATTCTGATATGGCCCCCAAGATTCCTACCCTATGAAGCACTCATCCTGTACAATCCCCTCCCCTTGAGTATGGGCAGGATCTGTAAATACGATGGGGGCCCTCCTCTTATAATTAGGTTACATTAAGTGGCAGAGGAGAAGATACTTCACAGATGTAATTAAGGTCCCAAATCAGTTGATTCCTAGTTAATCAAATGAGAGACTATCCTGGGTGGCCCTGACCTAATCAGATGAGCCCCTTCAAAGAGGATCTAGGCCAGGCGCGGTGGCTCACGCCTGTAATCCCAGCACGTTGGGAGGCTGAGGCTGGCGGATCACTTGAGGCCAAGAGTTTATGACCAGTCTGACCAACATGGTGACACCCTGTCTCTACTAAAACCACAAAAATTAGCTGGGTATGGTGGCACGTGCCTATAGTTCCAGCTACTCAGGAGGTTGAGGTAGGAAAATCGCTTGAACTTAGGAGGCAGAGGTTGCAGTGAGCCAAGATTGTGCCACTGCACTCTAGCCTAGGTGACAGAGAGACTCTGTCTCAAAAACAAACAAACAAATAAAACAAACAAACAAAAAACACACAAAAAAATTAGCCAGGCATGGTGTATGCCTGTGGTCCCAGCTACTCAGGAGGCTGAGGCAGGAGAATCACTTGAACCCAGGAGCTGGAGGTTGCAGTGAGCCAAGGTCATGCCATTGCACTCCAGCCTGGGTGACAGAGTGAAACTCCATCTCAAAAAGAAAAAGAAAAAAAAAGGATCTAAAGGTCAGACTCTCCCTTCCTGATGGCCTCTGAGAAGTGAGCCCCCATGAGTTCTAGGGCTGCAAGAGAGAAATTCTGCCAACATGTGAGCTTGGGAGCGGACCCTGAGTCATGTATGAGACTGACACCTTGACTGCTTAGCAGAAGATGCAGCTAAGCCATGTTTGGACTCCTGACTCAGAAACTCTGAGACAATAAACAGCCGTTTAAGTTGCTAGGTCTGTGGTAACTTGTTACAGAAATGGAAAACTAGTATCTAATACTCGTCTACTTAAAAAAAATATGAATTAACAATCAAGGCCTTGTTCATACCTCATCTCTTTCCTTGTGGCTTCTTTGGTCTCTTCAGCCCCTATTCACCTTTACGTTTTCCATTTCTGAACCCTTATCATTTGTATACTCTCTTCAGTCCTAAACCACACAACGCTTTGCAGTGTCGGCTAACTGCTTTAAATTTCTAGAATCATGTTTCATTCTGTTGACTCTTTCCATTTCTTCAGTACAATGTGCTAAGTACCCAAAAGAAGCTTAGAGATCAGCCATCAGAAATCCCTATCATTATCTATTTGGTGACCCTATTATTTATGCACTTCTGAAAGTGAGGTATACACAAAAGATTACTGAACAGTTTCCTGGTTGGTTTGTGAGGTTATATATGTATTGTGGGGCACATGTGCACATGAATACATTTCCATCCTACCCATCACCCTTGGTTCAAAATTAACACTAAAAGATGGAGAGAAACTGATCACAGCAGTACTCATAGTTCCCTTCTCCCTCACTTTTTCTGTCTCTTTCCAGTCTTTTCTAACCTTTCCTTTCCTGTCTTAGCTATACTTTCCTTTGCTCTCTCTACTCCTCTGTCACCAATGTATATCTTTCTTTCCATCTCTTCTCTCCCCATAACCCACTTTTCCTTCTACTTAATTTTCTTCTTTCTATTCATCCCCTACAATTTTCCAATCAATATAAACTACATGCAGTTTTCTTTTATGAGTTTTTTAATTTTAATTTTTAGAGACGCACTCAGTTGCCCCAGCTGCAGTGTGGCGGCTATCTGTGGGTGTGATCATAGCGCACTGCAGCCTTAATTCCTGGCCTCAAGTAATCCTCCTGCCTCAGCCCACTGAGTAGCTGGGACTATAGGCACGCACCACTGCACCTGGCCAGTTCTCTTTCATTTATGCAGTGCCTAGATTTCATCTGTATTTAGCTAGTCTCTACTCAACCACACAGAACACAGTTCTTTCCAACTTTCATTAATTTCCCGCTGAAGGAACCACTACAAAATTTTGTCAAAACCACTAAAGTAATAAAGAAAATGGGAAGGCTAAGGTTTTGAATTGAACAAGCAAGTTAACTGAGATCATTTTAAGGACTCATGGAAGAAGTGAGTTCTTAAGAAAAAGATCAGGCCGGGCGCAGTGGCTTATGCCTGTAATCCCAGC